GGGAACGCCACAAATTGATGGAAAGATCAAGTAGAAGTCAAGTAGGTCTTTCAAATTGCATGGCACGCTTGGAAACATTTTTCAGTTCGGCTTTAGAACAAACGTTCAAATTATTATATTATTTTTGATATTTATTTGTTATTTATCATAATTGTGTGCTAAATTTGCGAAAAATTTCTAATATATATATATTGGGTGGAATTGGAAACTTCATTGCAACTAATACAACACATATTTTATTGCATATTTTCAGGTGGTTTATACATTTTTGTAGGAAAGATAACTCACCTTTCTCTTATCGGACTTAATGAAAAAGAAACAAATATTAGCCGATATTGTATACAAATATATGTCATCAGCCAATGGTTTGTAGAGGTCTACGGAAATATTTTTCAAAATTGTGACAAATTGTGCCGGTACCAAAGATGGTGGACCTATCCAGCCGATAGTTTCGCCAAATCTACGATTAAGATATGCAGAGAATCACATTCTAAGTCGATTTATGCATGTCCGTCAGTCCTTTCGTCTGCCCATGATAACTTGTTAACTTTTTGCATTGGTCACTTATTTTGCCCAAGGACGTACCCTATAGAAATTGGAGAAATTGTATAATAAAGAATGATTTTAAAGTCCTTTAGGATAGTAAAAAACGATTCATGGTTAAATTATAGAACAAGCTGAAAATGTTTGACAGTGAAGGAACATACTGCTCGTGTTGCCAAAAAGATAACAAAAAACTCAGCATTTCCTATTATTAGCTTTAATGCAGAGGGAATAAAAATGTGATCCCACTTGAAGGTATTCCTTGTATATAAGTAAAATATATCGGTTCATTTTTACACTGTGTGAGAAATTAAAAAAAAGGCCAATCTTAATTGAAACCAGTAAGGAAAGCTCAAAATTCGGACGGTGCCGACTATATGATACCCTTTTCACCACTTTGGGTATATACAAAAATCGGACAAATATACAATAGATGCGCAAACATATGCACAATACCCTGTAGATAAAATAGACCATAGCATCTTTGGGGGCCGGGACCATTGATTCGTCCAAATCGGACAATCTTCTGATATTTGGTATAAAATTTAATGAAATTGGATGAAAGTATATATTGAGCCTATATGTAAATATGAAACTTCTTCAATTGAATACGCTATGCTATATCTACATCTGAACCGATTTCAACCAAAAATATGCGCTATATATATGTATATATAATATATATATATATATATATCTGAACTGATATTTTCCCAATTTCAATAGGGTTCGTCCTTGGGCCAAATAAATGGATTGTACCAAATTTCATCCAATTCGGACCATAAATGCGACCTTTGTTTACAATTTAACACGAACGGACATGCAGAAATCTACTCAGAAAGTGTTTCTATGCAGAAATTTAATCTGTACCCTTATATAGGGGCTATGTCAAAAATATCTACAATCACAATTTTGTGGGAAGAAGAGTTTTATTCGCCAATAACAGGTAATGCATACGACTTTTGAACCCTTGGTGAACCCCATGATGAGAAAAAAACTGCAACAAAGTCAAACGCCACAATTTTTACATTTTTAAATTTTATTGAATGAAAGCAAAAACATATCGGAAATAGTATAAAATTTTAGAATAAGTTTAGATTTGATCGAATTGGTCACCTTTGGCACGAATTATGGCCTTCATGGTATATTGGCCCATTCCCGGCGAAGCGCTTGCTTGAGATGATCGACACTTTGGTATTTTTTAGTGCCAACCTTGCTTTCCAAAATACTCCAGACACAATAGTCCAACGAATTGGTATCCGGAGATTTTGGGGGCTATTGCGCGCTGGAAATGATGCGATGAACCTCATCTTGTAACCATTCTTGGGAGGGGCGTGCTGAGTGCGATGGTGCTGAGTCTTGTTGCAATGTCTAAGGTCTGATGCCAAAATGTTTGCGTGCCCAAGGCTTTAATACACCCTCCAGAATATTTTCGAGATAATATTCGGCATTTATTCTGATGTCACGGTCGATTAATACGAGCGGAAAGCGACCAATGGCTGTTATTGCGGCCCACATCATCACCATGACCGGCGCTTGAGTTCTGGTGGCCCACCGAAGGTGTACATTTTCAGCTGACCTCTTTGGCAAGTAAACACGATCATTTCGTTTGTTTACAAACTGCTGGCCACGAATGTTTTCTGCTCGTAGAAAACCAAATTCGGCAGTTACCTGTATCACAACTTTGTACAAATTTTAGGACGGTGATTTTAGTTATCTTGGATCATATTGGGTTCACATCGGTTTTGTTATTTTTAAACGAGATGTCAAGATCCATTCTGCTTGTACTTCGAATCCAGATTTGCAGCTACACATTCTTCAGTAAGGATATCAATTCCTGGCAATCTTTAGCGATTGTAAGTACTGTCAAAGATTCCGTCTTCTTCCCCATAGGAATGGAAGTCTTAAAAAAATTAATTGTAAGGATTTGGCTGACTTTCTTTTGTCATAAATCAACTACAAATTTTAAAGAAAGACGACCGCGTTTCGACCAGTAGGACTCCATCCAACTAACGTTCCAAATAACGAGTGAAGACATGCACACGCCATACCATCTTCTAATTCCGGAGCTACCCCAAGGAAAATAAACAGGAAAAATGTTCTTAAGTTATTGGTAATCAAAACACGAGCGCCGCCGAACTGTGATGACATTTCTAAAATTAATTTTTTGTTTGAAAACAAAACATTTTGTTGGTGCTGCAAAAAGTAAATATGGCGAACGTGACACGCTTTCACACCATAAACACACATCGCATGGGATTTGTCACCTCAATAATTTATGACGGTAGAAAAAATTATCTCAAAATATGGGATACAAAATCAAAATGTCCGAATATAGAAAAAATGAGCTCTAACAACAAATTATCGGTGATATAGCAACAAACAGAATTTTTTAGTTGTACTAAAAAATCTGTTGTGACGTTCGCACAACACCGCTTGGCCACCACAGATAATGGCCATACAACGCAATGACTCTTCGGTAAGAGATTATCGGGGTGGTTGGGTTGGCAAAATGGTCTTGAAAATATATCAGACCAATAGAACATCAAATAACACTTGAAGATATTCATCGCTCGCGATATGATAATATTTTTTACCTATATATTTTCCAATTTGGAATTTTTTAATTAAAATAAAATATATATTTGAGAATACAGGTCAGAGTAGTTCTTAAAAACACATTAGTCGTTGACGAATACTTAAGAAAATAAGGTGTGCTGAAGCGGTGGTAAAGTTACACGGAATAATTGGAATAGAAAATATTGCGAACATTTAGATAATCGCATTATTGAAAATTATCAAACCAAATAAAAGTGTTAAATATTTAAATTAAAATATTTATAACAAAAAATAATTAAAAATGATTGAACACGAAGAGCGCCGTGGCAAAAGCAGACCACAAATATATGCAACGATTCCAGGTAAATAAATAACCGTTCTGTGATTTTTGTGAGTGAAAGTAAAAAACTATTAAAAAAAACACATCTTGTACGAATCTTAAAAAAAAAAAAAAAATACAAAATCCATATTATGTAAGGTTCTTCAAAATATTTAAAATATTTTAAAACATCCACGCCTTATATATCCCCTGAAAAAATAATTTTAAAAAAGTCCACGCCTTGTGCTGAACCTTTAAAAAAAATATTTCTAAAAAAAGTCCACGCCTGGCGTTGAACCTTAAAAAAAATATATTTTTTTTAAAGTCCACGCCTTGTGCTGAACCTTGAAAAAAATATTTTTAAACCAGTAAGGAAAGTAGTAAAGTCGGACGGGGCCGAAAAAAATATTTTTAAACCAGTATATTACCCTTCACCACTTTGGGTATATTCAACAGATGGAATCCTAACAGATGTCGCATTTTTGAAGGACCATTAACATGAAATGAAGAATATGTAGGGAAGGATATATAGGGTGCTTGTTGCACCATTTACATAAAATCGAACGAAAATATATATGGGAGCTATATCTAAATCTGGACCCAATTTCAGGAAATTTAACAAACATCGTTCTAGACATAATTCAGTACGCTATCCCAAATTTCATGCAAATCGAAGGATATATAGGGACTTTGGTACACCATTTAAATAAAATCGAACGAAAATATATATGGGAGCTATATCTAAATCTGAACCGATTTTCACGAAATTTAACACACATCGTTCTAGACTTAATTCAGTACGCTATGCCAAATTTCGTGCAAATCAAAAGACATATAGGGACTTTGGTGCACTATTTACCTAAAATCGGACGAAAATATATATGAGAGCTCTATCTAAATCTGAACCGATTTATAAATATATGTTAGCTATATCTAAATCTGAACCTTTTTTCATGAAACTTTGCGCTATGCCAAAATTCGTGCAAATTTAAATATTTGCAGGGACTTTGGTGCACCATTTACCTAAAATCGGGCGAAAAAATATATATGGGAGCTTTATCTAAGTTTGCACGGATTTTAATGGCATACCAAATTATGCCAAATTTCGTGCAAATCGAAAGATATGTAGGGACTTTGATGCACCAATTATATAAAATCGGACCAAAATGTATATGGGAGCTACATCTAAATCTGAACCGATTCTCACGAAACTTTGCACACATCATTCTAGACTTAATTCAGTACGCTATGCCAATTTTTGTGCAAATCGAAAGATATGTAGGGACTTTGGTACACCATTTACCATAAATCGGACGAAAATATAAATGGGAGCCATATCTAAATCTGAACTGATTTTTCCCAATTTCAATAGGGTTCATCCTTGGGCCGAACAAATGAGCTGTGCCAAATTTCATCCAAATCGGATCATAAATGCGACCTGTACTTTGTTTACAATTTAACATGGACAGACGGACGGGCGGACATGCATAAATCGACTCAGAAAATGATTCTATGCATATTCTCAAAAGGAACCATGGGTCTATCTCGATTATTTTTGCCTGTTACAAGCATATGCACAATGACATACGACACCATGAACCACAGTGTGGTGAAAGGTATAAAAATCCACGCCTTGTATATGTGTTGAAACAAAAATCCGCACTTTGGTGTTGAAAAAATGTTCTTTAAAAAAAACTTTTTTTAATAAAAAAAAATAATTTTAAAAAAGTCCACGCCTTGTGCTGAACCTTTAAAAAAATATTTCTAAAAAAAGTCCACGCCTTGCGTTGAACCTTGAAAAAAATATTTTTAAAAAAGTCCATGCCTTGTGCTGTACCTTGAAAAAAATATTTTTAAACCAGTAAGGAAAGTAGTAAAGTCGGACGGGGCCGACTATATGATACCCTTCACCACTTTGGGTATATTCAACAGATGGAATCCTAACAGATGTCGCATTTTTGAAGGACCATTAACATGAAATGAAGAATATGTAGGGAAGGATATATAGGGTCCTTGTTGCACCATTTACATAAAATCGAACGAAAATATATATGGGAGCTATATCTAAATCTGGACCCAATTTCAGGAAATTTAACAAACATCGTTCTAGACATAATTCAGTACGCTATCCCAAATTTCGTGCAAATCGAAGGATATATAGGGACTTTGGTACACCATTTAAATAAAATCGAACGAAAATATATATGGGAGCTATATCTAAATCTGAACCGATTTTCCGAAATTTAACACACATCGTTCTAGACTTAATTCAGTACGCTATGCCAAATTTCGTGCAAATCGATATAGGGACTTTGGTGCACTATTTACCTAAAATCGGACGAAAATATATATGGGAGCTATATCTAAATTTGAACCGATTTTCACGAAATTGTACACACATCTTTCTAGACTTAATTCAATATGCTATGCCAAATTTCGCGCAAATCGAAGGATATATGGGGACTTTGGTGCACTATTTACCTAAAATCGGACGAAAATATATATGAGAGCTATATCTAAATCTGAACCGATTTATATATATATATATATGGTAGCTATATCTAAATCTGAACCTTTTTTCATGAAACTTTGCGCTATGCCAAAATTCGTGCAAATTTAAATATTTGCAGGGACTTTGGTGCACCATTTACCTAAAATCGGGCGAAAAAATATATATGGGAGCTTTATCTAAGTTTGCACGGATTTTAATGGCATACCAAATTATGCCAACTTTCGTGCAAATCGAAAGATATGTAGGGACTTTGATGCACCAATTATATAAAATCGGACCAAAATGTATATGGGAGCTACATCTAAATCTGAACCGATTCTCACGAAACTTTGCACACATCATTCTAGACTTAATTCAGTACGCTATGCCAATTTTTGTGCAAATCGAAAGATATGTAGGGACTTTGGTACACCATTTACCATAAATCGGACGAAAATATAAATGGGAGCCATATCTAAATCTGAACTGATTTTTCCCAATTTCAATAGGGTTCGTCCTTGGGCCGAACAAATGAGCTGTGTCAAATTTCATCCAAATCGGATCATAAATGCGACCTGTACTTTGTTTACAATTTAACATGGACAGACGGACGGGCGGACATGCATAAATCGACTCAGAAAATGATTCTATGCATATTCTTAAAAGGAACCATGGATTATTTTTGCACAATGACATACGACGATTATTTTTGCTTGTTACAAACATATGCACAATGACATACGACACCCTGAACCACAGTGTGGTGGAAGGTATACAAATCCACGCCTTGTATGGGTGTTGAAACAAAAATCCGCACTTTGGTGTTGAAAAAATGTTCTTTAAAAAAAACTTTTTTTTATTTTTCTCAAAATCTTTTCTAATTTTTTAATTTATTTTTATTTCTTTCTAGGTGGCGTTATTTTCTTCTCCGCTGGCATGAACCTGGCCATCAGTGTGGGTTGGGCCAAGTTCGGCTTAATGGGCACCAGTAAGCATTTTTGCAATTCCTGGTTAATTGGTGTGATTGCGGGCACAATTCTGTCCACAGTCCTAAGAAGATTTCTAAGCAAAACGGTGCTATGGGTAAGTAGACCCCGAAAAAACCACACCTCAAAAATTCTGTTACTAATTATCCAACCTTCCTTTTCATTGCAGATTTTCTCTTCAATTTTAATTCTCACTGCTGGTCTCATTTTCACTGCTGTTCCCGATAACTACGATGCTCTATTGGCGGGACGTTATCTCAACGGCATTGGTGTGGGTCTGGCAATTATCTCCTTCATAATGCACGCCAGTGAGATTGCAGTGAAGAAGCATCGTGGGCGATGTTTGGTAGTGGAGCAGTTCTCAATGTCTCTGGGAATTGCGGTACAAATGATTTACACCTCAAATTGGAAGGATGAGTGGGCATTCTCCACATATCGTTTACATGGAATTTTGGAAATTATTTTGGCATTTTTGGGTGTGGCCGCCTTGATATTTTTCATTGAATCACCAATTGATCAAATCCGCTGGGGTAACGATCATGCCGCTCTGAAATGTTATGCCAAGCTGAGGCTCATCGACTCCCACTCGAAAGAGGCCTATGATCTCCTCAGTATGGGCAAAGTTTATGTCAATGAAGAGGAAAGTTTGACATTTGGTGCCAGCTTCAAACGTGGCATCCTGCCGTTGGTGAAAATGTTACTTTTCCGCAGTATCGTTGTGGCCTTGTGTTTCTCGCTGCCCTTCAGTGCTGCCTTCAAATATAGTGCCCTACAAAATGGCACCGAATGGGTTGTAACCGTTGCCGCTTGTGGTCGTATTTTGGGTGCGGTGTGTGTAATATACTTAGTGGACTCCGTGGGTCGCAAGACCACCTCCATGCTAACCATGTTCATAGCTGCTGCCATGCTAATCGGTTTGGGCCCTTTGTTTAGCCGTCTCAGCAGTATTGAGGATACATCAAATATGGCCACAGCCACATATCTTTGCACCTGGATGCAATTTGCTGTGGGGTATTTTACACCCTTTACCTCTGTCTATTTGGGTGAAGCTTTCCCCCTCCTGCTTAAACCTTATTTTATAGCTCTTGTGGTCATTGGCGAACAATTGGTCCACATTGTGTTGATTAGTACCATCTCCTTCGATTTAAGTCTCATGGATCATGGCATCATTATAGCTGTGATATTTTTAATAAGCTGTTTCACAATGCCCGAAACGAAAAATACCACCCTGCAGGAAGCTCAACAGAAATTCAGAAAATTGTTTAATGTAGGACGAAATTAAAGTTAGGGGAATATTTTTTAAGAGTAGATTTTTAAGGTTTAGCGTAAGGAAAAATGAATTTAAAATTTTAGTTTTGTAAGTAATTTAATTTCTAAGGAAAATATTTATTTATTTTAATTATAAGGACTGATGTTTTACGAACATGTATCGCCAAGACCATACATTAAATAACCATTTAACCGAAAATAGATAAAAATAAAAAATAATACACGATATTATTATCCCAAATAATCTCAATAAGATATTTTCATTTCAAAATATAAACCATTGCGCAAAATTAAAAAAACAATGCCTAGGACCCTTAAAAAAATTATAAAAACCCATTTTCTATGACCTTAGTAGTGTTGGCGGTTTATATGGGATACCATTTGTTTTTTGTTTTGCTAAATAGACTATGACCCTTAAAACTATTTTTAAAAAATCTCCGCCTTTTATGTCTCTAAAAAATATTTTTAAATATACACACCTTGGCCCTTGGATAATGTGGTTTTCTCGTCGGCTGAGGTTAGCCCTGTCGTTTCCAAGGTCTCCATAAGGACCCACAAAACCTTATTGATTGAAAAGACTAGTGTCTCCCTTTTGGGGTTAAAAATCTGATGTTTATTGATTTTGATACTAGTATGTTTATATAAATATGCCATAAAAAATTGATTTCGGGTGGCTTAGTATGCTGGTGGTTATCGGGAGCGGCTATGACGATTTAACTTGTGATCGGGAATGATGGTTGTCGGGAGTGGGAATCGATGATCAGCAATGATGATTCAACGGTGATCGGGAATGGTGAATGTCGATTTAACGGTGCTCGGGAGCGATGTTAGTAGTTGCTTACTGACTAAGTTCTCGTACAATCTACTATATCTAACTACGAACAGTAGACCGAAGTCTCTGTGTGGAATAGTAAGCCGAAGCCTCTGTGTGGAACTGTAGATAGTAGTCTCTGTGTGGAACAGTAGACCGAAGTCTCTGTGTGAAACAGTAAGCCGAAGCCTCTGTGTGGAAAAGTAGACCGAAGTCTCTGTGTGGATGTATTTAAGTAGCCGCCACAATGGGTAACCACCAAAAAGAATTGTTAATGATCGTAAGTGCAATGAACATCCAGAACACAAAATAGCAAGCATATGCAATGGCAAGCCCCCCTCAGTAGATGAAAGTGAAATAGTAGATCGAAGTAAGCCGAAGTCTCTGTGTGGATGTATTTATGTAGCCGCCACAATGGGTAACCACCAAAAAGAATTGTGAATGATCGTAAGTGCAATGAACATCCAGAACACAAAATAGCAAGCCTATGTAATGGCTAAAAAATAATATTCATAAAAAATTCACACCTTTTAGGGCCCTTTGAAAAAATTGATATTATTTAATCGGAATCAGATTATATTTAAAAATAAGAACAACAAAAAAATAATACGCACTAAAATTAATTTCGATAAGATATTTTTTGGTTGTCATTGCAAAAATGGGATCCAAGATCTACACACTGATTTCAGGATGATATGTCGTCATGGCCCCATCACGTGTATTGTTTTTATAGCTTCTGCTTTTTTTGGTAGTTTTTGATTTATCTCCAACTGAAATTGTTTAATAATATATAAAAAATACAAACTAAAATAACTTTAGATTAGATTATTTTATTTTTATATTTCAATTAGCAGTTAATTATTCATCACACTGAATTCGGATCGGAAGATAAGACTTTTCGAAAAAATACTTAAAAATCAATATTCTGATATATCGAAAGCCTAAAAATATAATTATGTGTTCACCTAATATTGTCGAACACAAATAAAAAGCCCCATCCTGATATATAGATGGCGCTACAAACATTAACCCTCAAGAAATTCGTGTATTATTATGACATCTGTCGGATCATTACTTATAGTATTTTGAGCAACATCACTTTTTTCAAAAACCAATACAAAATTACAGCCAATTCAGATAAAAATTGTTTCCAATGACTCCAAAATACAGAATATTGAGCACGACCAGCAACCTCTAAATTAAGAATGATGGGGTTTGCAAAATGTAGGTCAAGTTAAAATTGTGCCAAAGTATAAATTTTCCATAAGTATGAATTTCCCAAACTACATCAATTTCCAAATTTCAGTGTTCCAGCCCTATCGGTTCACCCAAATCCACAGTTGGTACCATTTTGTACATATTAGTACAAATTACGTGTTTTCAGAAAAAAGAACAAGAAAATCGTGAGCGTCAGCAAATCGAGATGTACAGCTGTCAGAATGAAGTCCGGAAATTTTACCAGCGAGTAAAACACCAAACCGAAGGTTTTATTGCAGGCACATCCTCCTGTAGAGATAAGAAGGAAACCTGGTGACAGATACAGACAGCGTGTTGAGGATCTGGAAGGGGACATTTTGAAAAGCTTCTGGTATTAAATAGAGGCAGTGAAGAAGATATCCCGGAACCAATAAAAGATGATGGTATAGAGTGTATACCACCAAACCAAGATGAGGTCATAAAATCAATTAATCGGCTCAAGAACAATAAAGTAGCAGGAGCCGATGGGTTACCAGCCGAACTATTCAAGACTGGTGGTCAGATGCTGGTCAGGAGCATGCACCAGTTCATTATACAATTTGGCTAGAGGAATGCATGTCCAATGATTGGAACCTCAGCATCCTGTGTCCCGTGCACAAAAAAGGAGACACGACGGTATGTGCTAACTATAGAGGAATTAGCCTTCTTCCCATCGCATATAAAGTGCTATCCAGTGTGCTGTGTGGACGATTGAAGCCAATGGCCAATGACATTATTGGACCATACCAAAATTTATACGACAGGCAAAAGTGAACAGAAATGACCTTCTCTACACAAAATAACACACGTTACTCGCCTACGTCGATGACATCGATATAACGGGTCGAACATTGCGAGCGGTAACAGCCACCTTTGAACAAATTGAGAAGGAGTCTGCCAAAGTGGGTCTGGAATCAAGGCCACCTCCCGCCAGGCCAAACTCACACTTTACAAGACCACCTTGCTGTTATATGGATCAAAGCAGCGTACTTGCGCAAGCAGATGCTCTTGGGGTGTTTGAAAGAAAAATTCTCCGAAAGATATACGGGCCGATTTGCGTCGACGGTGAATATCGGCGTCGAATGAACCACAAGCTCTACAATTTATACGCGGACACCGACATAGTCAGTCGTATTGAGATTCGTACTCATGTAATACTTGCTTCGAAGAAAGCATCCAAATTCCATATACCGGTTCACCCAAATTCAAATTTAGTACCAATTAGTACACATTATTATACATTTCCATAACTACCTACTTTAACAATCATAAGTACGAATTTCCAAAACTTCCCACATATCCCAAATTTAAGATTCTATCGTTTCACCTAAATCCAAATTTGGTACATTTTAGTACACATTAGTACGAATTTCTGAAACTTTCTACATAGCCCAATCCTACACACCAACAGTGATCCTAACTTCAAATTTTGAAGGTGCCAGCTCTATCGGATCACCCAAATTCAAATTTGTTACCATTTAGTAAACACTAGTACGAATTTCCTACACACCCCAACAACTATCCCGAATCCAAATTTTAGAATCACAGCTCTATTAGTTCACCGAAAATTCAAATTGTACCAAATTTAGTACCCAGTATGAATTTCCCAAACTACATCAATTTCCAATTTTCAGTGTTCCAGCTCTATCGGTTCATCGAAATCCACATTTGGTACCATTTTGTACAAATTAGTACAAATTTCCAAAAATTTCTACATATCCCAATCCTACACCTAACTCTCACTCTTCAGGATCCCCGTAATGTTAATTTCAAATTTAAGAATCCCAGCTCCATTTTAACCTCGAAATTAAATATGTACCAAATATTGTACCGTTTAGTACTTTTCATGTATATGAGTACACACTTCCAAAACCATCTCCTCATATCGACCCTACTTCTCAACCTTAATTCGCATTCCATATTTCAAGCTTTTAGCTCTATCCATTCACATTCTACGAAACTGTACCAAAGTTAGTACATTTTAGTGCTTTTCGGATCGGATGGTAGCCAAATATGGGTGATGTACATAACACTGGATTGATAATCATTGCTTTTTTAGCCACTAAAAAATATTAATCTCCATTTCGGTTGAAAAATGTGGTTAAACCAAATAAAATACTGACATATACAGTAACTCCGATATACTCCACTTTTGATATTTGCCTGTCAGCATTTTGTAGAACCTAGGGGTATTGCATACCGTGTGTGCCAGTATAGTGGGCCAGATCTATGACTACCGCCTCGTGGTGGAGTGAGGCGGGAGTTTTTTGGGACATTTTTTTTCAGATTCGGAGACTACATCATTACATCCACTTCTTAATGAATTGGGGTAGCCATCGGGTTTGAAGTAGTAATCTGATTTTGCTAGATTAAAAAAAAACATTGTCTGGTGTTGATTGTATGATCGGAAGAATGGTAAAAGCCGTCTGTAATAGTACGCTTACATTATACCGGATTTTTAGTTAAGCCAGTCAGTCGTACCGTTACAATGGGGGCTATTTATTTCTTATTGATTGATTCTAAATATTTGAATGAATATTATTAATGTTTTTCCCCACCATATAAGCAATTCAGTTATACATTACAACAATAAAACAAATATATCACAACAATTCTAATTGAATATTTATCTTCCGCCAAAAATCGGTTAACCAATTTTAAAATAATCTATTTATAACCGGGCAATTTATTCGGTAGTGAACAACCACACACTTCTTGTTTATCACCAAAAACATTTTAATTTATTTATTTTTTTTATTATTACTGGAACATTCTTATCACCAAGCATTGATTGAAGGTCTACAACAACAGCAAAACATATATAAAATAATAAAATGTTGGTAGTTCCCCACAAATCGCGATGGCGATATTGTTTTTTTCTTGTATCCGTAGCACAATTTTTTTGTGAGTAATCCATCACTCTCCATATACAAATATGTGTTTGTAGTATTTTTTGCGAAATACAGTACGAAATGGAAGATACATTTCCATGTGCCAAATAAATCAATAACTATTGACACTTCCACTAAAAAAATCGTATCCAGTCCATTATAATTAATTGGACATTGAACCGGTTGTGGTTTGTTTTTTTGTTTGTTTATTAAATTAATGAGTCATTGTTTTGGGATCCTGAAAAGTATATAACTGATATGATAGTGATAGAAAAAATAATCCTACCCACATTTTACACAGACTTTTCCCACCCTTGGGTACTCGAGCATTTTTCATACTCATATTTGTATTGTTTATATAAGCGATTCTTAGATCGGCTCGGTGCGCAAGCACCTACGGCTAAAAAAATCCAATTCAACTCCGGTAACAATTAAATTGACATACTGACTGACTGATGGACTGACTTAAGGTTTCATCGACGCCCAGATCGGATAATGCTAGAATCTTGAAATTTTGGGGTGAGGCTCACTCTTAGTCCGAAAGTGTCAGATAAGGCAATGGTTTTGGAAATCCGTACCAGAACGACACGAAAAGTACTAAATATTGTACCATTTGTATTTGGCAAACTGGTAGAGCTAGAGCTCTGAAATTTGCAATGAGGGTCAGTGATGGAGTGTAGGATAGATTATCAAAGGGGTTTTAAAAATTCGAACTATACGAAACGATACGTACGAAAAGTACTACATGGTTCTGTATTATACAATACAATTTAGATTTAGGTAAACCGATAGAGGGGGAAAACCGAAATTTGGAAATTTTAAGATTACTAATGTCTTTAAGAATTCAGGTATGTAGGTAGTTTAAGAAAAGAAATGTGTTCTAAATATTACTAAATTTGGTACAATTTAAATTTTGGATGAACCGATGGATCTGGAATCTTGAAATTTGGTGTTAGTATCGTGTTGGGGTGTAAGATAGGAATATATATGAAGTTTGGAAATTCGTACTAATGTGTACTAAATGGTACTGAATTTGGATTTGGGGGAACCGAATCCTGAAATCGGGAAATAAGATTTCTATTGGTTGTACCATATAGTTACTTTTTGGAATGTAGTGCTAATGTGTACTAAATTGTACGAAATGTTGTACAATTTGAATTTTGTGTGAACCGATAAAGCTGTAATCCCGAAATTTAAAGTTAGGATCATTGTTGGGATGCATGACGATTTGGAAATTCGTACTAAATGGTACTAAATTTGGTACAATTTCATTTGGTAGAATCGATAGCAATGGAATCCTGAAATTGGGAAAAAACGTTTGTATTGGACTGTGTGATATTGGTTGTTTTGGAAATATGTACTAATGTGTACTAAGTGGTACTAAATTTGAATTTAGGATACCAATAGAGCGGGAAACCAGAAACATGGTGTTTGGATCACTATAGGGGTGTAGAATTGGGATATGTAGAAAGTTTTGGAAATTCGTACTAATGTGTATTCAATTTGAGCTGGAATCCTGAAGTTTTGAATTAAAATGGAGTCCGGAATTGGATTATGATGGAAGTTATAAAAAATTGTACTCATGAGTACTAATTGGATTTGAGTGATCCGATTGGCTGAAATCCTGAAATTTGGAAACAAAATTGCTATTGGATCTACTAAGACAAGTTGGTGCTGAGAAGATAATATTGCTGCTCCAATTCACAATTTTTGAACATGGTGTGGAATACTATTAAAAAATTCTTCTTGAAATGGTCAATTGGAAAATGGTGACTGCGTCAACAAATATAGCCCCTCTTTTAACGGAATGGAATTACTGTAATTTGGTATTTATTAAGAACCAAATCTTACTACCAAAAAATGATCAATGTCGGTCTAATTGGATACGGCCAATAATTATCAAAATTGGCCCAACCGAATTCGCTATAAATTGAAATTTTTATTTCGTATTTCGTAACAAATTTTCGTACAAAAAATGGTTAATATTGGCCTCTTTATGGTAGGAGTCCCCATATAACCACTTTTATAGTTATATGGTTAATAGTTAACAGATTTATTTCGCATATTGGTATGGTCCCGATAAAACCGTATTCTAACATGGTATAGGGGATATTCTGAACTCGAAATTTTCAGTTTATATCCAAAAAAATAAGACGTCTGTACATCTGTTGTAATCATTTAACCTTTATAGGGCACCGAGATACAAAACTAAAAGGTCAGATCCGAAAATGAGATATATCGGTCCACATTTAAGCATTGCCCCCGAGATACAAAACTAAATTTTAGGTTTAAACATGAGCTTTTTTCCCCGTTACTCCTCTTGGTCTTCCACAAAGTACCGCCATCTTAATCAGTTAATTGCCATTCATTTTAAATCTTCTAATGGTATTTGACACAAGCAAGGTTTCATTGTCATATAGCAGAATCGACTTTATATATGCTTCGAATATTTTAAGCTTGGGTTTCCTGGATATATGTAAGATCCTCCATACACCTTGTAGTCGATCGAATGCTGCTCTCGTTTTTGTACTACTACTTGTTCCTAAGGTGCTTCCGAGATAGCAGAATCTATCGACGTATTCAATTGTTTGGTGTTGTTAATTCTCATGGCCTTTGTTTTCTTGATATTAATCTCAAGTCCAACATTGCATGCCAGTCTCTTCAGATCTTCTTATGACTGCATGTTGTTTGAGAGAGAATGCATATATCATCCGCATAATCGTGAGATGTCGTGGGAGCCTCCATGTACAATTGTGCACACAACAGTGCATCCATTTTTACTCCTGGGTTTGGTGTGAAACGGTTGGCTTATGTTCCCGATGTGAAGAACTGAGAGTTCTGCATCATCGTACATCGTTCAGATTATTTTCTGGGTACCCAATGCCTCCCATATGGTAGTTTGTCTGATGGTATCGAAAGACTTCTTGAAATCGATGAACTCTATATACAGGGGGTGCGTCATTCTATAGATTGTTCTATTATGACTCGTAGAGTGTTGGCCTGGACCACACAGCTTCTATTTAGTCTAAAACCAGCTTGTTCATCTCTACGAATGATTTCTACGTGACCTTCAATTCTTTTTTGTATTATGGTTGCCAGGATTTTGTATATGGTGTTGAGCAAGGTTATTCCTCTCTAGTTGTTAAAATCTTTCAAGTCGCCATTTTTGGGTGACTTAAGAACAATGCTATTATTTTAAGTTGGAGGGAGTCTCTCTTCCTCCCAAGCTTGACTGATGTAAGGTTGAAGTGACTCAGCTGCGGTTCTATCGTTGGATTTAACTCTTCCGCCGGCAAACCATCTTTACCCACTGCTTTGTTACTTTTTAATTGTTCTTTTACCTCCATGGCCCAATAATAAGGTCGACCAATAAGGCCAGATGATTTCTCCGAACTGTCGAAATACTTTCGATTTTGACTTAATCGTGTTTATTGGGTCAAGAGTACCTCTTTTATTTCAATCAAGCGGGGAGCGTTGGACAATAGATTCAGAGTATTTTTCCATTTGACTTTACATTTCTTTATTTTTCTTCGAGATGTTCTCTCTTCTTCATCTTTGAGTGACAAATAATTTATTTTTAAACACATTGATCCCTTGTGGTCGTTTCTTATATATACTCATACATTCTTATATACATTTTAACCAATTAATATAATGAACTATTATATACTAAAATTAAGGAAATAATATATTTTGCCGCAGATTCGACTTTACAGCACTCACGTATCATCGCAGCCAATTTTCTATAGTGCCTCCACATTCATCTACTACTTTCATTATCCAGCCAAAAAAAAGTTTTTCTTAGACAGTATGTTCTGTCCTCCAGGTTCTTCACTCAGTGTGTCTGGTATTTCTGAAAATGCTCAATATGTGTAAATTTGTACCCTGTTTTCTCAGGGCATAAAAATCCTCATGGCTAAAATTTACCATTACACAGTCCCCATATCAAAGTCCCGCACCGATTTTTATTGGCTTCGATAATTTCTGTTCTTGTTCCTTCTATTTTTTAACGTTAATTCATTCATTCCATAAAGATTGTCAAAAAATTCCTAAGCCTTCAGAAAAAAACTGGCCGTCGTTTTAGGAACCCCGAAATCAAACAAAAGCATATTGACACATTACACCAAAACAAAATCGTTTTTTTATGTGAAAAAGATTACCTTTTTGTTATCACCTGTCTCTTTTATTTTTGATAACACTCACACCTTCACCCCTAGCAATAACCCTCTCCTCCGAAAAAGAAAATCAGCAAAACATTTTCACATTATCAAGAGCGGGCCATATGTATGAGCCAAGTTTTTTATCGACTGATAATGGTCTGGGTATTAGAAACAAATATTGGCGACGTTTTGTTTTCGTCGATTTCGAAATTGAAAACAACAGCCAGCACCTGCATTGGGCAGCAGCGTTTAGTCTTTCATTAACATTAACGAATATCGGGTTATATTTGACGCACGGACGACAAAAGTATTTTCTATTCGGAAACAATCGATATTCTGTGAACAATTTTCTCACACACATTTTATTTTTTCTAATAACAAAAATTCATTTGGTGTGAAATAGTGAAAATAATCTGAAAAAGTTGAAATAATCTCAAAAATGCAGCCGCAACAGCAGCAATATGCAGGACAACAATATCCTGCGCAACCACAATATCCTGGGCAACCACAACCGCCATATCCAGGACAGCCTCCACAATATACAGCCCAACCTCCACAGTATCCAGGGCAACAATATCCCCCACAACCTGCCCCAGCTCCAGCCCCGAATGTAATATATGTTACATCTCCCACACCGGTTGTGACTGCTGCACCCATACAAGCGAACACCAGATGGCGCAACAGGCCACAAACTAATGCAACAGCAGCAGGTGATTTAAACATAATTTCAGAACAAAAAATTTAAATTGATTTCTCGATGTAAAGAGAGTAGGTTTTTAAATGATTCATCAATGACCGGCCGAAATGACTGAGTACATAGACTAATGTTGAAGAATAATTTTTATGGCCTAGGGTTTAGATAAGGGAGGCGGTGTTTTTTTCATTATGGCCTGTAAGATTACACAAATGTGTCGTACCACTCCCCAGGTTTGAATGTGAAGCTTCAGTATTATAGTTCTTTTCCAGAATGTCTACTTCGGTATATAAGATGGAGAACATTTTACAGCTATATTCTATGGGTGTCGACCCAATTTAGGTATATTGAAGATCACAGCTGCACTTTTCGAATAAAGTGTATTATAATTAATAATATCAGATGGCAATGCCGCGCGATTATAGATATACTGTTAGTTCCACTCGCAACTGAATTTGGCATTCGGAGGCCGGGTAGAATATTATTAATATAGGCCCACCTTCCATTGATGTCCCATTGCTAGATCTCCCGCCGAGTTGGCGGTATTCTGACATTTTTCAAAAGGTTCATGTTTTGTCGGAGCCGCCATTAAAAAATTGGAAGATACAATTCCAGATAATTGCGCTTGATGCCATCGAATTACTTCATTATAGTTCCATACATTCGAATAATCCGCTTCAGTTTTGAATTTATTTTTCATCCGGATGCAAGTTGTTTCAGATCTTACAACTCGTCTTTAATAATATTTAACCATTCCCTTAGTAGACCTACTATTCGGAAGAGTATTCTTTTCGTTATATATGACGTTTAACTCCTGGGCGTCTCGACTAAATCGCCTGTACTTCCTCTTTCTCTCCCGCTCATTAAGACCTTTCTTATGATTCTCTGGTAAAATCTTTCTATTTCTCAACTTCAATTTTTTAAATAAAAACCTATTCTCTTCATGAAACAGAAAATCTCTAACAATTCTTTAGATCTCTACTCAAAACTGCTATTATTTTTTTTAGAAGTCCCAGTCACCATATAAGAGTCTATGTTTGTAGAAGGTCTCAAGGTCTCATAAGCTGATCGAATCTAACTGCTTGACCCACCATGTACTTAAATAAAATCTCTGTTCAAATGGATAATCAGTTTAGTAGGGTCTCAGTATAGATTTTATCCAGTAGTTTTGATTAATGAAAACCTGCAATTTACCTCAATGCAGATCACTCAGCATCATAGTCTCCGTCGATATACCCTTTGAACGCACTATTTTCTAAACCATAGGCGACTTTTACAAGACCGTTACATGTGACGAATCAAGGGCCTATGCGTATGAGCCCGTGACAAAACAGTAATTAATCGTGTGGGTCTTCGAAGACGAGTCAGATCAAACGAAAGTTGTTCGTTGGAGAAGAACTTGATCGCATGTTTCTTCAAATAAACTGACCATCTTGTGACGGTTCTGCACCGTAGGGCGGTCTATTCTGAGAGTCATTGTGCAGCATGACTTGGTACAATCCATTACCAATCTAGGGCACGGAGCGGATCGATTTTTCTCATTGTTTTTTAAGAAAAAAAAACTAATTTCATAACATAGTTTGGGAGTAGGTCGTTCGGCAACGAACTGGTTGAAAAGAACTATTCCACAAAAGAAACGATCGTTACTAGGTCCAGTTCTTTCGTTCATCTAGCGCCAGTCTTTTTCTTTCAAAAATCGAAATGGTTCAATGGAACTATTCCTCAAAAGGAACGATCGGTACTAGATCCGGATGTTTTGTTCGTCTATAGCATTTTGCCCCAGTCGTTCATTTTTTCTCTCGCATTTAGTTCCTTTTGATCAAATCGTTCATCTAGACCTTACCTTACTCATTGGCCGAATAGAAGGGACATATACACCAAACATGTTTTACGTAAATCCTCATATATTTGATATATAAATGTCCTAGTTCATATTGAGAAGCGAACCGTTTCCGGAACACTAATATATACCTTTTGCTCCATTTAGAAGTAAGTCGTTCGACATCGAGCTGGTTTAAAAAAAAAAAATATTTAGCAAGTAGAACAATAGGTACTAGATCCTGTTCATTTGTCACATATAGTTCTTTTGGCTCCAGTCGTTCTTTTTTTCTCTCGCACCTAGTTCCCTTTGATTCAATCGTTGATCTAGGTCTTCCCGTTCATTGACCGAATTTAACGGAGATATACACTGAAAACGTTTTATGCAAATCGTCATTTTTAAATATGAATGCCGTAGTTCCGTTTGAGGAGCGAACCGCTTTGCTCACACACAATTTTGAAAATTGTTGATGTCAATCTTCCCATTAATTAATTAATTTAATGTAATTTTTTTGCTTTCTATTGCAGCTGGTATCATTTTCGTATCGGGCGGTGCCAATTTAGCCTACAGCACCGGATGGTCACCAGTGGCAAGTTTATTTGGCGATCATTATCTATACTCATGGTTTATTGCTGTAATAATTGGTTGTATTATTTCGATACCATTGCGTAAATTTGTTGCCCAGAGACTAATACTGGTAATAGCACCCCTTAGAAAGAATACAATTTCCGCATCAAAAATAACTAATGTTCATTATCCCTTCTAGGCCATATCCACGCTACTAATTCTGATTAGTGGCATCATTTTTGCCAGTGACCCCGGCAATTATGATTCCCTGATGGCGGGGCGTTATCTCAATGGCATTGCCATTGGTTTGGCCACAGTACCGTTCCTGATGAATGCCAGTGAAATTGCCGATATTCAATATCGTGGTGTATGCGTTTCCATTGAACAATATTCCTTCTCGCTGGGTATTGCGGTACAAATGATCTATGTCTCAAACTGGAACGAACAGGTCGATTTTCCTGCCAATCGTCTGCATGGTATTTTGGATATTATCTATGCCATATTTGCTGCTCTTTCCTTGGTATCGGTTGTGGACTCACCAGTCGATATATTGCGTAAGGGTAATGAAAACGCTGCCTTGGAGACATTGGCTCGTTTGCGTCGTCCCCAGGGGGTGACAACAGAAACTCAACGTTTGCTGAACGAATACAAGGCCTATGTACGCGAGGAGGAACACCTTACATGGATGCAAAGTTTCGAACGTGGTCTGGTGCCGTTGGTGAAAGTTCTATTCATTCGTAGCATGATGTTGGCTTTCTGCATGTCTCTGCCCTTGAACTGGAGCATATTATATAGTATACAGACAACGTATGGCACTTGGGTACCTACCGTTTCGGGTATTTTCCGTATTTTGGGTGGTATTGTTGCCGTCGGTATGGTCGATAATGCAAATCGTAAAATACCATCGGTGTTCTCAATGTTAATCATCGGTTGTTTCCTTATCGGTTTGGGTTCACTATTCCAGTCGTATTCGAATGTTTTCAACTACGATGATATGAATTCGGCAATGTATTTGTATTTGTTTTTACAATTATTTGCCGGTTTCTTTGTACCCTACACATCGATATATGTCAGTGAGGCATTCCCGCTGCGCGCCAAGCCCATCCTAATGGCTGTTGTTGTTATCGTGGAACAGATAATCCATATTATATTCATTGAAACTGTTGGTAATAATTTGGGTGATAATTTAATGACCCAGGGTATAATAACGGTGGTCGTATTTCTATTTTTGGGCGTAGCCATGCCCGAGACAAGAAATACAACATTGACCGAGGCACAGATACGTTTTAGGAAATTATTGAATCTGTAAAAAAATATGTATTTTTTTAGGATTGTCTGGAGATTTAATAAAAAAAACTGATGTATGTACATAAGTTTAAAGATTTCCACTTTTTGTATTAATTTTTATTAAATTATTTGTATTTAGAAAAATTTTCTATTTATAATAAAGATATGTTCAGAAAATTTATCAAGAGATTGTTATGTTTAAGTACTGACGTGAGAAACTATCTACCATAACGATCAGAACTCGTTGACAGCCGACTACTAACACTATAGTCTGGTGTGCGAAGTGGATTTATATGTTTTCCGTGGGTCTTTTCCTGGATTTGACGCAGAGTAAAAATCTGGTCAATGGTGAATTTGCCAAGACTGAAGCCGATAATATTATAAACCATTGGCTTCCGTCACATCTGCAAGGTCGCTCTGCGTATATCGAGAGATGCTTGTTACTGGTTTATAAATTTGATACGTTGGTCTTCAATCTCCTGAGTCCATTCAATGACGGATGCTGAGCTGTAGCAGGCAAACTCCCGCACACGGGCTCTCTTTGAAAGTAATTTGTGTGAAAAACAGTTCTCTGACTGTTCTGTAACGTGGTTTTCTCGTCGGCTGATGTTAGCCCAGTTGTGTCCAAGGTCTCCATAAGGAACCACAAAACCTTATTGATTCTCCCTTTTGGGGTTAAAATCTGATGTTCATTTCAATACTAGTGTGTTTAAATATGCGATACAAATAATTGATTTCGGGTGGCTTAATGTGATGGTGATTATCGGTATCGGCTACGACGATTTAACGGTGTTCGGGAATGATGGTTGTCGGGAGTCGGAATCGATGATGATGATTCAACGGTGATCGGGAATGGTGAATGTTGCAAGCGGCTACGACGATTTACCGGTAATCGTGAATGATGGTTTTCTGTGTCAGTACGATGATCGGAAACAACGATTTAACGGTGATCGGGAACGATGTTAGTAGTTGCTTACTGACTAAGTTCTCATACAATCTACTATATCTAACTACGAACAGTAGACCGAAGTCTCTGTGTGGAACAGTAGACCGAAGTCACTGTGTGGATGATCGGGAATGGTGGTTATCTGGTGTCAGTACGATGATCTGCAAAGACAATGTAACGGTGATCGGGAATGATGGTTATCTGGTGTCAGTACGATAATCGGCAAAGACAATGTAACGGTGATCGGCAACGATGTTAGTAGTTGCTTACTAAGTTCTCATACAATCTAACTACGAACAGTAGACCAAAGTGTCTGTGTGGAACAGTAAGCCGAAGCCACTGTGTGGAACAGTAAGACAAAGCCTCTGTGTGGAACAGTAAGCGAGCTAATCAAGTGGACGTCATGCGAAGTCGTTGCTATGATGGGTGACTTTTTGTATGCATGTGGCTTTTGGCACGTTACAGTTCTTGTCGTAGAGCGTAGATACCGTAGTGCTATTTTTGTTGCTGCTTTGCTCTTCTTGCTTAAACTTTTTTCTGATTGGAATATGTGTCGGTCACCTCAACGATCCTATGTGATCACTAAGATCCTCTGCGAACCACATGAACTTCTTCGTTTGCTTGGCTAATAACCTTTTAAATGAGGTAAAACTATTTTTTTATTTTTCAAGAGATTATTTAAGCATTTGAGAGATTGTGGGTAGTAATTCAGAGCCATAGAGAGTACTTGGAATCCTTCCGCGTGGAACAAATGACTACGGAACTAATGTACAGGCCATAAGTAAGAAATGCACGAACAGATTTTAATCAACATGTTTAGGTTTTAATGCATCCCAATAAACACAAGAAAACAAGAAGATCTAAATTTTCCCCGTGAGTTCCGGTGTGCATAACATAAGCCGAGCTTAAAAAATATTTCCAAGCACGTCGGTCTAGTGCGCATCCAATCTTCATCCATTCTCTCAACATCTAGCCACTGCATTCGCTGCAGCTCGATACGTCTGACTATGTCGATGTCCGAGTATAGATAGTACAACTTGTGGTTCTTTTGACGCCGATATTCACCGTCGACGCAGATCGGCCCACAGATTTTCCGGAGAATTTTTCTCTCAAACACTCCAAGGGCTGCTTCATCTGCTATTCGACTTTAACTGTTGACCTTGTGCCACTTGCATAACCGTATTAATTTTGCAGGAATGCCGAACGCAGACATGGCTTTAAACACCCCTGAACGGATAGGACTTTCAAATGCGGCTTTATAGTCAACTAATAGGTGGAATGTCGATGTGTTTTTCGTGGACCTTTTCCAGGATTTGACGCCGGGTGAAAATCTGGCCAATGGTGGATTTGCCAAGACTGAAGCCGCATTGATATGGTCCAATAACATCATTGAGCTTTGGCTTCAGTCGTTCACACAGCCCACTGAATAGCACTTTATATGCGATTGGAAGTTGGCACATATCATGTCTTGTCCAGCGTCTGACCACCGGCAATAGTTCGGCATCTGCTGCTTTATTGTGTTCTTCAGCCGATTAATTGCTACTCTGACCTGATCTTGGTTAGGTGGTATACACTCCATACCATCATCTCTTATTGGTTCTGGGGTATCTTATTCACCGCCACTATTTGATTCCAGAAGCTTTTCAAAATGTTCCTTCCAGATCCTTAACACACAATCTGTATCTGACACAGGTTTTCATCTGCATCTCTACAGGAGGATGTGCCTGCACCAAAGCCTTCGGTTTGGTGTTTTTCTCGTTGGTAGAATTACCGGACTTCATTACGACTCCTGTACATCTCGATTTGCTGATGCTCCCCTTTTTCTTATTCTTTCTTCTTTTTTTCTATTTCTATTTGCTTTTGTTTTATTCCGTTGGTGATTTCACCCATGAAAGTATTACATTTCACTCATTAGCAATATCCCTTAGACATATTACAAGAAATTCGTTATCTCATTGATCGGTATATACCCAAGTAATATTATTGGGAATTACTTAGGCAAATCTTAGCAACAGCAGTATCATCAATTCTACACATTAAAATATTTTATATACATGTTTGCATTCTTTTAAAAAGTACATCCCCCCACTTGATTTGTTACCGCAATTCTTGAGGGTACTTCTTTGTACGGTTAGTGATAAAAAATCGAACACTTGACAACATTTTTGTTGTGATACGAGGTAGGTACTTAAATGTAAGAACTTTTATAATAAAATTGTAATTTGAATATACCTTATGCACCAACCCACGCTCGATAGGGCCACAACTTATTGAAACTCCATTTTGTTCCATTTCTGCATACTCCATATAGCCTCATCTGTATAAGACCGGCTATCTCTATGAACAAGATTCTGCTATAACAAATATATTCGACCCCTTGACGAATCTGTTGGTTTCAGACCAACTGCTAATTTTTATCACAAAAGTCGGAACCCCTGTCAAAATGTCCTAACATACCAATCGAAATCATCCCAACCTCGTTATATCAGTACAAACAAAACAGAAATTTGTAAATATGTATGTTTGCATGTACATACATACATGAATATTCTCTATATTTATATATATTTTTATCAATGGATAAAAATTGAATACTGCCAACAGATAATTAATCATGACAATGTTCAGTGTAAATTCATTAAATTAATTACGTTTAGCAAAATATATTGAAAATTCTGACAAGAAAGTAGTCTTTTAACAACATTGGTGGCGAACGAAGTACTACGCATAATTAAATATATTTTTAATACATCAAATTAAATAAAAAAAACTCTATAAATAAATACGAAAAATAAAATAACTACCGGTAAATTTGTATACGACACAGAAAATTATCAGTGATGTCATCACCAACAACTTCTGACCCCCCAAATGGATTCGATGCGACACCGAATGGACAGCTAAAGAAGAGCACACCACACTCGATATCGTTATCAGCAGGTGATTTACAAAAAAAATATATATTTATCAATAAATTTTGTAGATCAAAATATCAAAATGCAAAAAAGGCACTCATTCTTTGACACGTTGAAAAAAGTCTTCTTTAAAAAATCCACGCCTTGTTTGACACGTTGAAAAAAGTCTTCTTTAAAAAATCCACGCCTTGTTTGACACGTTGAAAAAAGTCTTCTTTAAAAAATCCACGCCTTGTTTGACACGTTGAAAAAAGTCTTCTTTAAAAAATCCACGCCTTGTTTGACACGTTGAAAAAAGTCTTCTTTAAAAAATCCACGCCTTGTTTAACACGTTGAAAAAAGTCTTCTTTAAAAAATCCACGCCTTGTTTGACACCTTGCAAAAAGTCTTCTTTAAAAAATCGACGCCTTGTTTGACACCTTGCAAAAAGTCTTCTTTAAAAAATCCACGCCTTGTTTGACACCTTGAAAGAATATTTTTTAAAAAATCCACGCCTTGTTTGACACCTTGCAAAAAGTCTTCTTTAAAAAATTCACGCCTTGTTTGACACCTTGAAAGAATATTTTTTAAAAAATCCACGCCTTGTTTGACACCTTGAAAAAAGTCTTCTTTAAAAAATCCACGCCTTGTTTGACACCTTGAAAAAAGTCTTCTTTAAAAAATCCACGCCTTGTTTGACACCTTGAAAGAATATTTTTTAAAAAATCCACGCCTTGTTTGACACCTTGAAAGAATATTTTTAAAAAATCCACGCATTGTTTGACACGTTGAAAAAAGTCTTCTTTAAAAAATCCACGCCTTGTTTGAAAAAAGTCTTCTTTAAAAAATCCACGCCTTGTTTGAAAAAAGTCTTCTTTAAAAAATCCACACCTTGTTTGAAAAAAGTCTTCTTTAAAAAATCCACGCCTTGTTTGACACGTTGAAAAAAGTCTTCTTTAAAAAATCTACGCCATGTTTGACACGTTGAAAAAAGTCTTCTTTAAAAAATCCACGCCTTGTTTGAAAAAAGTCTTCTATAAAAAATCCACGCCTTGTTTGACACGTTGAAAAAAGTCTTCTTTAAAAAATCTACGCCATGTTTGACACGTTGAAAAAAGTCTTCTTTAAAAAATCCACGCCTTGTTTGACGCCTTGAATAATATTCTTTAAAAAATCCACATCTCAGATGGTCGTTGAAAAAAAATATTCCTTAAAAATAATTTTCTTTTTTCCAGGCGGCATGATTTTCCTTTCGGCTGGCATGAATATGGCCCTGGGATTAGGCTGGTATCACTATAGCCTCTATAATTCGGCCAAACATTTCTCATACTCATGGTTTATAGGGGTTATAATTGGAAATATTTTATCAGCACCCCTGGTCAATTTTATACCCAAGAAATTTATACTGGTAAGTGTATAAATTTTTGTAGATTTTTTCAAACTAACTTTAGTTTATTTTTATTTACAGGGCCTCTCCACGTTCCTTATACTCCTCGAGGGTATCCTCTTCACAAGTGCTCCACACCATTATGACAGCCTGATGGCGGCCCGTTATTTCAATGGCATTGGCGTCGGTTTGGCCATTGTCCCCTTCCTGATACATGCCAGTGAGGTGTCGACCAATGCAAATCGTGGTTCGTACCTGGCCTTAGAACAATATTCTGTGAGTTTAGGCATAGCCGTACAAATGGTGTACGCCTCGTTATGGAGTTACACGGTGGACTTCCCCATCAATTGTCTGCATGGCATACTCGACATTTGCTTCGCTGTCCTCGCCTTCATATTTCTATTTTATTTCGTCGAGTCACCGGTAACTTATATACGCAAGGGAGAAGATGGTTTGGCATTGGAATCATTGGCTAAGCTAAGGCGTCCAGTAGGTGTAACCGCGGAGGTACGTGCCCTGTTCGAACAACATAAGGCTTATGTTAGCGACCAGGACAGCATAACAATGGCCGAAAGTTTACGTCAAGGCCTATTGCCGTTGGTGAAAATGATCCTCTATCGCAGTCTCATGCTGGCCTTTTGCTATTCCCTACCCCTTAATGCTGCCCTACAATTTAGTATAGTATTGAACGATCAATCGTGGGCTCCCACAACTGTTGGCTTTACACGAGCTTTGGGTTCCGTCCTTGCCATATGTCTAATGAATTATGTCGATCGTAAAATTCCCTCAATACTCTCCGCCATTATTGTGGGTGGTCTGCTGATTGGATTGGGTTTGATTTTCCGCCATACCGAGAGTATTTTAATAGCCAACGAAATGACAACGGCAATGATACTTTGTATTGTCCTACAATTATTTGGCGGATACTTTGCACCTTACACTTCGGTATATTTGGCTGAGGCATTCCCGCTGCGCATGAAACCCTATCTAATGGACTGCTGTATAATTATCGAACAAATTCTGCACATTATTCTAATTGAAACCTATAAATATCTGTATATGGGTACTAATCTGCTTGTTCAGGGTATAATTATTATGGCGATATTCTTACTAATCGGTTTGACAATGCCTGAGACGAGAAAGACATCATTGGCCGAGGCACAACGACGTTTTAGAAAATGGATATATATTATGTTGGATATTGAAGTTTAAAATTTTACTAATAGTAAAAATGTTATTTTTGTAAATATTATATTATTGAATGTAAACTGAACAAACAAATATTTAAAATATTATTTTAATAAAAAAATTAAAAAAAAACTTACCTATAATTCTTCCGATTTTGCAAACACCTGGAAAAACGAAAAATAATAGGTAGGTATAAATTAAAAAAGTAGCCGATTATTATGTTATATTAGAATGTTTTAGGAAAACATAGATGTCCGCTAAGTTAAATTTCCTATTTATCTAGCAAAGACACACACCACAATGTTAACAGAGCTATTGACAAATCACTGTTAACATTATTGGATTTGTTATCCGACTCGAAGGACCAAATGTTAGTGAGATATTAAAACCAAACCGTCTCTTACGATTGTGATTTATATTCTCTGTTTCTGTTTCTTTATTAAAGTATATTATTGTGGTTCTTTTTTTTAAAGTACCATATTTTATTGTAATCCGACTCGAAGGACCAAATGTAAATGTGAGATATTGAAACCCAACAGTATTGTTCGATTATAGTTTCAATTCTTATTTATTTGTGAAATATTTGTACTTAAGAACTACATAAACTAATCTAACTTAGGCTAATCTTATACAGATAACAGCTATCAATTCTCACAGTGCACATGGGGGTTGCGTTCATTTTTTTTTACATCAAATGAGCGCGCCAATATCATTGTGTGTGGACTTCTATTAATTTTTTTTTATCAGCGCACACATATTCACCGTCGACGCAGATTTGCCCATAGATCTTCCGGGGATTTTTTCACTCAAACACTCCAAGAGCTGTCTCATCTGCTTGCGCAAGTACCCATGTTACAGAGAGTGTGAGTTTGATCTGGAGTGTGAGTTTGGTCTGGCGAGAGGCGACCTTGTTTCTGAATTGCTTACTTAGATCAAAGTAGCATCTTTTGGTCAACACTATTCTCCTCCGAATTTCAAAACTGATGTTATTAGTTTTAATTATGGCGATACCAAGGTATATAAAATCTTTGACTGCCACGAAGCAAATTAGTTGGTTCATCTTTTGGCCAACACTATTCTCCTCCGAATTTCAAAACTGGCGTAGACGAGTAACATATGCTGTTTGGTGTACAGAGTGCCATATCTGATCACCTTTACCTCTAATATGACTTTTTCCAGCACGATGTTAAAAAGATCACACGACAAACTGTCACCTTGTCTGAATCCTCGTTCGGTGTTGAAGGGCACAGATAGGTCCTTTCCTACTTAATCTGCTGAACTTGTGCCATTTAAAGTTGTTCTGCATAGCCATATTAATTTTTAGGAATGCCGAACACAAATGGCTTTTAACACTTCTGAACGAATAGGACTTCGAATGCGGCTTTATAGTCGACGAATAGGTGGAATGTGCCGATGTGTTTTTCCGTGCCGATGTGTTCTGCCGCAGAGTGAACATCTGGTCAATTGCCAGGCCTAAAGCCACATTGGTATGGTCCAATAATGTCATTGACCATTGGCTGTAGTCTTTCACACAGCACGCTGGATAGCAGTTTATACGCTAGGGGAAGGAAACTAATCCCTCTTGTCTCCTTTATGGGGCACGGTATACAGGATGATGAAGTTCCAACCATTGGGCATGCATTCCTCTAGCCAAATTGTACTAATAAACTGGTACATGCTCCTGACCAGCATCTGACCAACGGGTTTGAATTGTTCGGCTGGTAATGAATAGGCACCTGTTGCTTTATTGTTCTTCAGCCGATTAATTGCTATTCTCACCTCATCTTTTCTAGAAGGTAAAAAATCTATCTTTGGTCAAGGATGCTTGAATATAAGCCATTATAACGATTTTTTGCTTTGGGTAAAACATGTTTTTTTATTAATCAACCATAAAAAAACTAATCAAGCAGACGAATCTTTCATTTTTTTTTTTAAATTAAGTAGTAAATATATTCTGAACGATTTGATTTGAGTGACGGTCTCAAGATAGATTCAAACGAAACGTGTATTTGGGAGGAAAATGCGGCATATATAAGAACGTAATATTCCTGCTTGTGCTTAAGGCCAGAACAAGGGGTAGATGGGATCTTGCGAATACCTGCTAATAAAGTAATGTATGATTCCATCGACTTCAGTCGAATAGATAACTTTCTAATGGTTCCTAGACCGAGCGGCAAATTTAAAAAATAAGTTAGTTAGAGATAACCGTTTGCACGAACCAGACGTCGAAAGGTTAATTCGGGGATAACTATAGGCCTCCGAGCAGTTTAGCTACTTTGAATGAAGGTCTTATATATATATAGGTCTTATATATATAGAGATGACCAGCTCCTCTTCTATCATCGTAGGTTTGGGACACTAGATAAATATAGTACCGTTTACAGCATCTCTGTAGAGGGTAAAGCGTCCTCACTTGTATAAGGATGCTTTACCCTCTACTAGGAGCCGTCGTAGGACTTTATTTAAACGTGACCCGTCGTGGACCTTTATTTAAAATAATTGTAACCGAACAAGGATTAAAATGAATGTAATCCAGTTGAAATAAGAAGCCGTCGGGGGACTTCATTAAAATGTGATTTTAAGTGTGGCAGATGTGATTTTAAGTGTGGGTCTTTATATAAAAGTGTTAATCGTGAAGAGCCGCCGAACCCTATAAAGAACACTTTGTAAGTGATCGTGAAGTTAAGCAACCATAGGCGACCGAAGCCTGTTCCGGATCGTCCCAACCAGCATGCTACTTAAAGAGTCCCGACCAGAACCGCACAACGTCCCCAGTTATCTGTATTACCAACAGCCGTACCGGAGCAGTAACAGAACAGAGTCAGACGTTGCAGACTACAATCGCAGTAATTAAAGTGTATGGAGTTTGTATATCAGTTTAAAGTTCTAAATAAAGCGAAGTACTTTGAATTTGAAAAGTAAAACTACATCTTTTCACTCTCGGTCACTTCAATATAAAATATCTGTGACAAACCCTACCACCTCGACATATCCCAGTAACCGGAGGAAACTTGGCGTTACAATAAAGACAGGGCATTTTTTTATCGCCACACCTTATTTTTTATAATTTACAGTTGGCAACAAAAGCTTTTCGGACTACCTTCCACAAAAATCAATACTTCTGTTTCGACCTTAACTAATTATTGTGTACGTCAATGTTCGGCAACTTTTAACACGTTGGCAACTTTTAACACGTATAGTCACAATTTTCGAATTTCACTTGTTTCTACTGTCCGTCAACGTGATAAATTCAAAAAATATCAAAAATAATATCTCGATTTGCTAAACCCTATAGAAGAACAGGCTAACATAAATTGTATTGATTGTTAAAAAAATTGTCAAATTAGATAAGGAAATAAAATCAAAATTCCCATAATATAAACCCCGAATGTATCAAACTATAATATCTCGATCATAAATATTATTTGTGACATTTTTTTAAATGATATTATTTGATAATATATTAATTCGAAATTTGGTAAAATAGACCAAGTCAAGTAGGGAAAAAATAAACAAATAGAAATTCTCAAATGTGGGCCTTTTTTTTTGTAAATTTTGAATTATTGAAATTGGAACAATCAAAAGAACCTCAGTAAGTGTAAACTTAAACAGGACATTATATTAAGAGGACCTTAACCTCATATTTGATTCCTTCGGATATTATACAAAAAATATTAGCCCGCGATATTTATTTCTTCTTAATTGTTATCTAATTGGCGCCAGAGTATTGATCCATTACTAAGGCAATCCCCAAAATATCCCACCAACTTTTGGCCATTTTTTATACCCTCTAGCACACCTCCAAATATTTACCAGAGATCCCATGAGGTTAACATGGCTCCCATACCAAGGTCCCTCGTAATTGTAGCGTAATTGAATTTCCAAGTCCAGTTTTCCAACCTGAATGTCGGTAATTTTCTCACAGCAATTTACAAAGAGATACGAGTATCCTCAAATGAAAGGTCCCGAAAGTTAACCTGGAATTTTTAAGACACTCGACATGTATTGTCTGTCTTTTGAATTATTCTCTATTATGGATTTAATCTCTTTTGTTAATATATCAATAACAACAAAACTATTATCAATTTCTTTACATTGATTTTCCAAAAAAATAAGAATTTGTTTAAGTAAACTCGACATATTATTAGTAGTAGAGTACAACTGATTTGGCCATAAGGTGTATTTGGGGGAAAGAATGATTCTTTTTCTTTTTATTTCGATTTTTTTTATAAAAATAAATACGCAACATAATGTCTCCAACGCTGACAAATGTTACAACAACGACGGCGACCACACCGATTGGACGAGCCCATATTGATAATCCAAATCGACGCAATAAACCACAATCGAATGCCACAGCTATTGGTAAGTATCGATCGATAATCATCATTGTTATTGTTTTTTTTTTATTATTATTAGCGAACTTAAATCTCTGTATGGCGATACATTTTTATACCCTCCTCCGTATCGCCAATGAGGGTATATGCACTTTGATACGGTAAAACAGTGCCTCATCAAAATCGCTTCAGACAATTTGGTGTCGACTTAAAATTGTTCGTCTGTCTGTTTGGCTCTCGAATGGAGTAACCGAATTCATTCAAACATTGCACATCGTAATATTTCCTCGAAACTTAAAACAACGGACTATCCGATTTGAAACTTAGCACAATCTAATATTTAGAAGGTGGGACTTATCGACGCATTTCTTCTAATACTTCTCCCACAAAGCGTCAAAATTTTCATTTTTATAATTTCAAGTTTGATACTTTCTTACTCAACTTCCCGAGCTCAATCACGTCTGCTGATTGACACCAAGGGCATAAGATATCGACTAATCGACTTTTTGTATTAAAAAGTCGACTTTGGATCAATTTCTTTTGACAACAATTCATATAAAAGAACAAAATTTTTACCCGATTTTGCATTAGTCGGTAAAAGTCGAAAACCGATTTTGAACAGGTTTGACAAAATCGAAAGATCGAAAAGTCGACTTTTTAGTCAAAGGGAAAAATCGAATAGACTAAAAATCGACTTTTGCGCTCACTATGTATCCCTACACGGGCATCTCCTCGGCAAGTTCCCTCAGTGGAGACCCTAGAGTGAAGATGCCACCGAGCGGTGGTTGTTGTTTTGCTCGACATTTTCTCCCATTGGAATATGTAAATGTATTAGTAATCGAAAACAGATACTTAGCGATCACCGCGATCCTCAGTGATTACATCAACCGCATTATATCGATGTCATCAGCGTAGGCGAGTAACATGTATTTTTTTGGTGTACAGAGTGTCATATCTAATCACCTTTGCCTTTCATATGACCTTTTCCAGCACGATGTTACAAATATTACACGACAAACTTTCACCTTTCCTGAATCCTCGTATTAAAGAGCTCCGATAGGTTCTTCCCTACTTTAACTGCTCATCTTGTGTCATTTAAAGTTATCCTCCATAGCCGTATTAATTTTGTAGGAATGCCGAACGCAGATATGGCTTTAAACACCTCTGAACGGATAGGGCTGCCGAATGCGGCTTAATTGTCGACGAATAGCTGCAATGAGTCGATGTGTGTTTTCGTGGGTCTTTTCCAGGTTTTGGCGGATGTGCCAGGTATGAAGCCGCATTGGTGTGATCCAATAATATCATTGACCATCGGCTTCAGTCGTTCACACAGTACGCTGAATAGCACTTTATATGCAATGGGAAGGAGACTTATTCCTCTATATCTCCTATATTCCTCAAGCCTCCTTTTTTGCGCATGGGACACAGGATGCTGAGATTCCAATCATTGGGCATGCATTCCTCTAGCCAAATTGCAGTAATCAGTTGGTGCATGCTCTTGATTAGCTTCTTGAATCATCGCACCAGCTTCGTTATTGTTCCTCAGCCGATTAATTGCTGCTCTGACTTCATATTGGCTAGGTGGCACACACCGTCATCTCTTATTGGTTCTGAGGATTCTTCTTTACCGCCAGTATTTGATGCCAGAATCTTTTCAAAATGTTCCCTCCAGATCCTCAAAACAGAAATGACATTCTGTACACCAAACAGACATCGAAATACTTCCAGTAGTCCCGGATCAACTGAGAACTACAATTTCGAGGTAGTCAACGATTTTATATACATTGGTACCGCCATAAATAGAACTTATGGCATCCGTTTTGAAAGCAATTCAGAAACATGTCCACCTCTCGCCAGACCAAACTCACACTCTACAATACGCAGATACTACCCGTGCTGTTGTATAGATCAGACGCATGGGTACTTCCGCAAGCAGATAATGCAGCTCTTGGAGTGTTTGAGAGTAAAATTCTCCAAAAGGTCTATGGACCGATCTGTGTCGGCGGTGAATATCGCCGGCAAATGAGCCATGAGTTGTACCATCTATTCAGCGACTACGTTGGCTAGGTCATGTTGTGAGAATCGGTAAGGATTCAATGTTCTCCTTTGAATGTGTGCTTGTAGAGATACCCTCGACTATAGATTTCAAGACACCCATATCTGTAGGAGAGGTTTGCTCACGATCGCAAGATGACCACGGTTGGTGCCTCGTAGGTTGATCAACGATACCCGTCGGTACTGTGTTTTTTTTCGGATATGGACCGTAAATTTATTCTTCTTCGAATTTTCCGTAGTTTTTTTATTTTTAGAGGATTAGTTTTGGTGTAACTAATTGTAATAGATAAGTGTGGTCATCCACTTTCCCCTATCCGGCAATTGGGTACGCGCCCGTTAGGAGACTTAAAACTTCCCTCTTAATTAAAAGTCCGTTAACCTTTCGACACCTTCGTAATTATTATGATATTTATAATTACATTTCCAGGAGCATTTCTATTCACATCGGCTGGCATGAATATGGCCATGGGTCTGGGTTGGACGGAAAGTGCCGTGTACACATGGACCAAGCATTATTGTTATTCATGGTTTATGGGAGTAATTATTGGTGCCATATTTTCCATGCCTCTTTCACAATTTATGATGGCCAAAAAGAAGTGGATAATGGTAAGTCCCGAAATTTACAATATCTCATTAAATTTGAAAAAAAAAAAATAATTAAAAATTCCTCCAACTTTTCCAGGCTACTGCAGCAACCATGGTACTCGTGGATGGTATTCTCTTTATATCCTTTCCCACCGACTACAAAGCCATTCTGGCAGCAAGATATCTCAATGGCATGGCCATTGGCCTGATAACAGTACCATTCCTAGTGCATGCAAGTGAAATCGCCGTCGATTCGTTTCGTGGCAGCTGCCTAATGACCGAACAATATTCCCTAACCTTTGGCATAGCAATACAAATGATTTATACCTCGTTTTGGCCCAGCAGTGTTGAGTTTCCGGCAAATCGTTTACATGGAATTTTCGATATCGTGTTCGGTGTATTCGCTTGGGTGTTTCTCTCCTATTTTATTGAATCACCAATAGATTTGATACGCAAAGGTGATGATATGGCAGCACTAGATTGTTTGGCTCGTCTGCAATATCCTCAAATAATTACGGCCCGGACTCATGCCCAGCTGGAACAGCAAAAGTATTATTTCCAAGAGGAAAAATATCGCTCTTGGTGGAAATGCGTGGGCCGAAGCGTATTGCCTTTGGTGAAAATGTTCTTTTTCCGCAGTGCTTTGTTGGCATTTTCCTACAACCTGCCGCTGAATTTAACCCTACGTTATAGTGTTCTGATCAATGAGGCTATTTGGTCGGGTACCGTTGCTGCAATTTGTCGTATTTTTGGTGCCTTCTTGGCATTCATTATGGTTGATCATGCAGCCCGGAGAATACCCTCTGCTTTGGCGGCAATCGCCATAGGCATTCTACTAATATTGCAAGCCATGTGGTTTGAAAATCTGCTGGCCAATAGTTTTGATTTGAAGGATCTGAAAATCATTATGGCTCTCTATATGCTGATACAAGCCTTTGCTGGATTTTTTAGCTGCTACACTTCGGTATATTTGGCAGAGGCATTTCCATTGCGAACGAAACCATTTTTTATGACATTCTCCGTGGTCGGTGAACAGCTGTTACAAACTATTTTTATTTTAAATATTTTTCGAAAATTGAGTAATGTTATATTGGTTCAGGGTGTGGTGGCCTTGATAGCGGGTGTAGCCTTTTGGTTTACAATGCCGGAGACAAAAAATACAACGCTGTCAGAGGCTCAAGAGAAATTTCGTAAAGTATTTAGTTTTAAGCGTAAGGAGAGTGTATCCGAAGCGTAATACTTAGGCAGTGACGAATTTTTATTATTTTTTTGTTATAATTTTTATTTAAAAAACTTTCTTGATTTATAATCAATAAATAAACAAATAATAAAAATTATCCTTGAAAATATTCTTTAAACAATCCACGCCTTGTATGACCTTGGGAAAAAATAATCTTTAAAGAAAACATGTCTTGAATGACCTTGGGAAAATATTCTTTACAGAAAGCAGGTATTGTATGACCTTGGGAAAATATTCTTTAAAGAAAACAGGTCTTGTATGACCTTGGGAAAAATATTCTTTAAAAAATCCACGTCTTGTATGACCCCAGAAAAAATATTCTTTAAAAAATCCACGCCTTTTAAAGCACTGGAAAAAAATTCTCTAAAAAAATTGTTGATTATTTTTTCTTCTTCTGAACCCAATCGAGAACCACAAAAAGGTCTATTTAATAATTCTGAAAGCAAAATCAAGTTCAAGGACCACAATGAATCTACTTATTAACGATATGTGTTAATAATAATACACATTTTAATAAATACGAGAGAAAGCGAGACAACATATTGCGGTTTAAGATTGTGTCATTGTTTAATTTATATTTTTAAAAACTGTTCGCATAGGCCCCATAATTTATAAAATTCAAATTTAGTCTTGCAGTTGATATCTAGATAGTACGCAGTCATAGTTCGAAACATTTTTGAATTGGACATTTTAATAAACAGAGAAACAAAATGGATCAACCTCCAACAACCCCACCAGTTGTGTGTGAAATAGGTGGAACCCAAACACCGGCAGCACCAATGCCAACATGGTATAGCCGTCATCACTTGGCTTCAATGGCTGGAGGTAAGGAATGTGTGTCAGTTATAAAATCCACGCCTCAGATGGTCTTTGAAAAAATATTCTTTAAAAAATCCACGCCTCAGATGGTCGATGAAAAAAAAATCCACGATGAAAATCGATGAAAAAAAAATCTTTAAAAAATCCACGCCTCAGATGGAAGATGAAAAAAAATTCTTTAAAAAATCCACGCCTCAGATGGTCGATGAAAAAAAATTCTTTAAAAAATCCACGCCTCAGATGGTCGATGAAAAAAAATTCTTTAAAAAATCCACGCCTCAGATGGTCGATGAAAAAAAAATCCACGATGAAAATCGATGAAAAAAAAATCTTTAAAAAATCCACGCCTCAGATGGTCGATGAAAAAAAAAACCACGATGAAAATCGATGAAAAAAAATCTTTAAAAAATCCACGCCTCAGATGGTCGATGAAAAAAAAATCTTTAAAAAATCCACGCCTCAGATGGTCTATGAAAAAAAATCTTTAAAAAATCCACGCCTCAGATGGTCGATGAAAAAAAAATCCACGATGAAAATCGATGAAAAAAAATCCACGATGAAAATCGATGAAAAAAAAATCTTTAAAAAATCCACGCCTCAGATGGTCGATGAAAAAAAAAATCCACGATGAAAATCGATGAAAAAAAATCTTTAAAAAATCCACGCCTCAGATGGTCGATGAAAAAAAAAATCCACGATGAAAATCGATGAAAAAAAATCTTTAAAAAATCCACGCCTCAGATGGTCGATGAAAAAAAATCTTTAAAAAATCCACGCCTCAGATGGTCGATGAAAAAAAAATCTTTAAAAAATCCACGCCTCAGATGGTCGATGAAAAAAAACTTTAAAAAATCCACGCCTCAGATGGTCGATGAAAAAAAAATCTTTAAAAAATCCACGCCTCAGATGGTCGATGAAAAAAAAATCTTTAAAAAATCCACGCCTCAGATGGTCGATGAAAAAAAAACTTTAAAAAATCCACGCCTCAGATGGTCGATGAAAAAAATCTTTAAAAAATCCACGCCTCAGATGGTCGATGAAAAAAAATCTTTAAAAAATCCACGCCTCAGATGGTCGATGAAAAAAAATCTTTAAAAAATCCGCGCCTCAGATGGTCGATGAAAAAAAATCTTTAAAAAATCCACGCCTCAGATGGTCGATGAAAAAAAAATCTTTAAAAAATCCACGCCTCAGATGGTCGATGAAAAAAATCTTTAAAAAATCCACGCCTCAGATGGTCGATGAAAAAAATCTTTAAAAAATCCACGCCTCAGATGGTCGATGAAAAAAAATCTTTAAAAAATCCACGCCTCAGATGGTCGATGAAAAAAAATCTTTAAAAAATCCACGCCTCAGATGGTCGATGAAAAAATATTCTTTAAAAAATCAACGCCTAAGATGGTCGATGAAAAATTATTCTTAAAAAAATCCACGCCTCAGATGGTCGATGAAAAATTATTCTTAAAAAAATCCACGCCTCAGATGGTCGATGAAAAATTATTCTTAAAAAATCCACGCCTCAGATGGTCGATGAAAAAAAATCTTTAAAAAATCCACGCCTCAGATGGTCGATGAAAAAATCTTTAAAAAATCCACGCCTCAGATGGTCGATGAAAAAAAAATCCACGATGAAAATCGATGAAAAAAAATCTTTAAAAAATCCACGCCTCAGATGGTCGATGAAAAAAAAATCTTTAAAAAATCCACGCCTCAGATGGTCGATGAAAAAAAAATCTTTAAAAAATCCACGCCTCAGATGGTCGATGAAAAAAAAAACTTTAAAAAATCCAGGCCTCAGATGGTCGATGAAAAAAAAAACTTTAAAAAATCCACGCCTCAGATGGTCGATGAAAAAAAATCTTTAAAAAATCCACGCCTCAGATGGTCGATGAAAAAAAATCTTTAAAAAATCCACGCCTCAGATGGTCGATGAAAAAAAATCCACGCCTCAGATGGTCGATGAAAAAAATCTTTAAAAAATCCACGCCTCAGATGGTCGATGAAAAAAAATCTTTAAAAAATCCACGCCTCAGATGGTCGATGAAAAAAAATCTTTAAAAAATCCGCGCCTCAGATGGTCGATGAAAAAAAATCTTTAAAAAATCCACGCCTCAGATGGTCGATGAAAAAAAAATCTTTAAAAAATCCACGCCTCAGATGGTCGATGAAAAAAATCTTTAAAAAATCCACGCCTCAGATGGTCGATGAAAAAAAATCTTTAAAAAATCCACGCCTCAGATGGTCGATGAAAAAAAATCTTTAAAAAATCCACGCCTCAGATGGTCTTTGAAAAAATATTCTTTAAAAAATCCACGCCTCAGATGGTCGATGAAAAAAAAAATGCCAACATGGTATAGCCGTCATCACTTGGCTTCAATGGCTGGAGGTAAGGAATGTGTGTCAGTTATAAAATCCACGCCTCAGATGGTCTTTGAAAAAATATTCTTTAAAAAATCCACGCCTCAGATGGTCGATGAAAAAAAATCCACGATGAAAATCGATGAAAAAAAATGACCTCAGATGGTCGATGAAAAAAAATTCTTTAAAAAATCCACGCCTCAGATGGTCGATGAACAAAAAATTCACGATGAAAATCGATGAAAAAAAAAATCTTTAAAAAATCCAGGCCTCAGATGGTCGATGAAAAAAAATCCACGATGAAAATCGATGAAAAAAAATCTTTAAAAAATCCACGCCTCAGATGGTCGATGAAAAAAAATCTTTAAAAAATCCACGCCTCAGATGGCCGATGAAAAAAAAATCTTTAAAAAATCCACGCCTCAGATGGTCGATGAAAAAAAATCTTTAAAAAATCCACGCCTCAGATGGTCGATGAAAAAAAAATCCACGATGAAAATCGATGAAAAAAAATCTTTAAAAAATCCACGCCTCAGATGGTCGATGAAAAAAAATCTTTAAAAAATCCACGCCTCAGATGGTCGATGAAAAAACATCTTTAAAAAATCCACGCCTCAGATGGTCGATGAAAAAAAATCTTTAAAAAATCCACGCCTCAGATGGTCGATGAAAAAAAACTTTAAAAAATCCACGCATCAGATGGTCGATGAAAAAAAAACTTTAAAAAATCCACGCCTCAGATGGTCGATGAAAAAAAATCTTTAAAAAATCCACGCCTCAGATGGTCGATGAAAAAAAAAACTTTAAAAAATCCACGCCTCAGATGGTCGATGAAAAAAAATCTTTAAAAAATCCACGCCTCAGATGGTCGATGAAAAAAAATCTTTAAAAAATCCACGCCTCAGATGATCGATGAAAAAAAATCTTTAAAAAATCCACGCTTCAGATGGTCGATGAAAAAAAATCTTTAAAAAATCCGCGCCTCAGATGGTCGATGAAAAAAAATCTTTAAAAAATCCACGCCTCAGATGGTCGATGAAAAAAAATCTTTAAAAAATCCGCGCCTCAGATGGTCGATGAAAAAAAATCTTTAAAAAATCCACGCCTCAGATGGTCGATGAAAAAAAAATCTTTAAAAAATCCACGCCTCAGATGGTCGATGAAAAAAATCTTTAAAAAATCCACGCCTCAGATGGTCGATGAAAAAAAATCTTTAAAAAATCCACGCCTCAGATGGTCGATGAAAAAAAATCTTTAAAAAATCCACGCCTCAGATGGTCGATGAAAAAAAATCTTTAAAAAATCCACGCCTCAGATGGTCGATGAAAAAAAATCTTTAAAAAATCCACGCCTCAGATGGTCGATGAAAAAAAATTCTTTAAAAAATCCACGCCTCAGATGGTCGACGAAAAAAAAACTTTAAAAAATCCACGCCTCAGATGGTCGATGAAAAAAAAACTTTAAAAAATCCACGCCTCAGATGGTCGATGAAAAAAAATCTTTAAAAAATCCACGCCTCAGATGGTCGATGAAAAAAAACTTTAAAAAATCCACGCCTCAGATGGTCGATGAAAAAAAATCTTTAAAAAATCCACGCCTCAGATGGTCGATGAAAAAAAATCTTTAAAAAATCCACGCTTCAGATGGTCGATGAAAAAAAATCTTTAAAAAATCCGCGCCTCAGATGGTCGATGAAAAAAAATCTTTAAAAAATCCACGCCTCAGATTGTCGATGAAAAAAAATCTTTAAAAAATCCACGCCTCAGATGGTCGATGAAAAAAATCTTTAAAAAATCCACGCCTCAGATGGTCGATGAAAA